TTGATCTCAACTCCGCCGCTTTCCCAACAAGACTAATACGTTTCCTTAATTCGCGAACCGCTCTCCCCGAGTCACGCGTTGATTCGCTGAAATTTGAAGACCTGTCAAGCCACAAATTAGCAAGAACGCTCTGATTGGTGCGACATCGATCGCAATGTTTTGGTGTATCACAAACCAATCTGATTGGTTTGTGATACACCAAAACATCTCGCCAATCACATTGCTTTGAGATACACCAAAAAAAAGATGCGCCAATCAGATTGCTTAGATACACCAAATTGCGCCGATCAGGTTACACTACACCAAAATACATCAATCTATACGCTAACATATGGTTATTTTATTTTTAAAAAAAATAACTCAAAAATTAATGTATCCTTTAGTGTGGCCTTACTGGTATGACGTCATAATTTGTTGTATATGAAGTATTTTTCGAAATTTTTTGCACTCTTCCATAGGTGTCTTCGTGCTATAGCACTTGACACCAAAAATCTAAACAACAAAAATGTAAAACAAAGTTGTGGAAAACTTCAAAACTACTTTTAGCCCACAATAAAGCAACTGATGAGGAAGATATGGGCGACAACGAAAATATATTGATGACACATCCTACACGACGCAAGTTGCGAAAATCCAAAAACAAGCTTATCAGGACTTATGAGTGATTCTAAAATTTACACCACATGTATTCATATATTTTCTAATGGTCAACAGATTAGACAAGATTGGTACAAGTAGATCACACCCGTTTCTAAAGCTTTTCATACTGGAGAAGACGCAATTGAATCTCACTCTGCATTAAGGCAACTGCTGTTTGCTGCCTATTTCACACACCCAATCATTTTTCACACTAAAAAACAGGTTACCATTTAAGTCAATAAGCACAGTGGGATCAAAAGCGATGTAAGTCAACGAAAAGTACAAAAATTAAAGGCTTTACGCCTCTCGGAACTTGTGGTTATAAATCTGCCATTTTGAGCTACTCGAGTGTTCCCGCAGGTGCATCACAAAGATGTTACATCATTTTGCTCAGCCAATCAGCAGTTTTTCCGCTGTCTTCCTTGATAAGAATCATGTTAAAATTTATCATTCAATTCTGGTTTCAAACCAAATATATAAAGCCTATGTTTCCTTTCCAACACAAATGTTTTCATCGTTTCCTCTCTGCCTGATTTCTCGGCATTATCAAATTCATTAAGAATGTTTGGGAACTCCTGGAAAAGAAGTGCACATTGATCCCAATTCTTGGCTTTAGCAGCTTTATCACATTCTGACAACATTTGTCCATTGTCCTGAAGAAGTTGGCTGACGGGACAATACTCAGCACATGCTGCCAAAATGGTGTCTTTTCCCTTATTATTACCATCATTCTTGCCAATAAAGCCTTTTAAATTCCTGAACATTTCCTTGCAGATCATACAGGGAGGCTTGACCTCTTGGTAGTTCTTGCCGTTAAATGCTGCTGAAGACCAGTTGTGATTGTTGGCATCATCTAGACGTTGGCTACCAAAATTAATTGTTGCCTTTTGGAGGGAACAATGGAAATCACAAATTCGTCGGTGCAAACAAAGTGGTAGAAGGACATGACTTACAGCCATTGATGACCCGACACACCAGTTTCCATTGCAAGATACTTTTGCCAAAACTCGTGGCCTGAAAATATTTTTTGAGCTAAGCTCACCGAAAATGTCGCGTGCTAATTCCAAAACAGAAGAAGCATGAGTTTCACTGCCTTGTGGAAATGCAGGGCTTGCAAACATTTCACTAATCTGAAAGGAAAGACAACTCATCACTTATTCCCGAAACTGATTGAATTCACTTTAAAGCTTACCGTGTGTTCCAATAATCATATGATCAAAAAAGCAAAGGACATTACTGTATGTGAAACCCCTGGTTAGGCGTGTTAAGGGGGAAGAAGAAGCCAGACAGTTTGCAATGGAAAAACTTAAAAGGTAAGTGTACTTTTATTGCACAATTAATTGTTGTAAGCTACAATCAGCATCAAAATTAGTTGCTCAACATATCATGTTGGAGGATTCCTACCTATGTGAAGAATAACAATCCTGTTTCTACCACACTATGAATCATTAACAGGCCCCCCTCCCCCCATTCAATGTTGGCTGAAGGTTCATGGAATCACGATACAACATTATTTTGGGGGGATGGCGGAAAATTGGTTAACTAAATGAGGGCAAAAGAGATATGAAGTTGAGGTAGTAGGGGGTTGAAGAGATCAATGTGTCAACAATTTTGCAGCTGATTGTCTGAAAGACCACATCATAAATTTCTTTAAAAAGGAAGTTTCAAGAGAAGACTGTTTTGACATTATGTTTTCTACTTCAAGTATACTTTTGATTGATTCAACTTTAGCATGGGTACCCCTCAGTACCCGCTAATTAAGATCGCTTATGTACTATTTATTTTGTGACGTTACAATCGAGCTGTTAGCTGCAAAAGACTTTTAGCAGCATGATTTTTCTGGGGAAAATCTCTGAATAAACCCATGCACTTGTGCAAATTGCACAAAAACATTAAGGTCTGACACAAACAAAAACAATGGAAAAGTTTGGTCTATCACGATCTATCTTTCATAGGATTTTAAATGGGATAAGAAGAACAAAAAGTTGTCCTGAGCCACAAGAAGCAAAAGGGGCCAGTCAACCAAGAAAGTTGAACAGGTACCAAAAACAACTCCTTGTATCTGAGAAACGTCAATTTATGACAGGAAGATGGTAATTTCACTGTCAAGAGACTGATGGAAAGAGAACGATCAATGTGTCACCAGTTTTGTCCCTGATTGTAACAAGTTACTGGTTTGAGAACTCTGGCATGGCTTAGATGATACCACAAATGTGGAATCATTTGGGGTGACTTTATAGCTTCACTTTCATCGTACAATCAGCACTGCACTGATGAAGCCCACAGGGCTGAAACAGTACTGTTGGCATATATATATATGTATATAGTTCTCCCCCATCAGCACTGCACTGATGAGGCCCAGAAGACCGAAACAGTGCTTGATACAAATAGTAGAGCGGGTATAATGTGTGGTAGGTGGACAAAAAACAACTTCATATACATCACTACAGACCTGTTTCGTGGTTGCCCACTCATCAGGGGATTTTGAAATCCCCTGATGAGTGGGAAACCACGAAACAGGTCTGTAGGGATGTATACGTAGTTGTTTTTTTTCCACCTACCACACATTATATATATATATTTGTATATATATATATATATAATTTTATATATAAAGATGAGTTTCTGGAGTCGGACTAGTTCAAAAACATTTAATTGCTACTCGGAGTTTCATGCTTCTTCCTTTCATGCTTTCATTGGTTCTTCTGAGTAGCAATTAAATGTTTTTGAACTAGTCCAACTCCAGAAATTCATCTTTATTCACTGCTCTGGTCAAATCATTGAGCACTTTTATAGCAGATGAAGTCTTCATTTTCAGTTACAACTGGTAGTCATACATATATATATAAATATAAACAGACTAGGAGAAATCGTGGCTGTGAAAAAAAGCTCGATGCGGGTTGCAGAGTGTTTCAATAGCGGTTATAAAGTAATGACGGGAAGATCATTTCACTGTTACTCTGAGTTTCACGCAGCCTGAGCTTGTGCTGCAATCGTTTGACAATCGCAGCGCAAGCTGTGTGAAACTCAGAGTAATGGTGAAATGATTTTCCTGTCATTAATTTATAACTGCTGTATATATCAGCCATTGTTGAGATATATAGATAGATAAATATCAGTACTAAATACAGTAAAATACTTGTCAATAATAAATAAAATTAATGTCATTAGTTAGTTCCTTCACTAAAAGTAATTTTTTTCACCCTGGTCCTAATTTGTTAACATGTCTTAGAGCAGCTTACAAAGTTCCTAGCTTTGGCAAGTCCTTGAGTTCTAGATTGCAGGACCACTGTGCAAGAAGCTGTTTCTTCCAAGCTCTCTTTTTTTTTCCTCTTAACTTCAAGATATAAATTCTTTTAATACAAAGGGTCAGTAAAGAAAAAAGGTAAAAGCCTATTGTTAAAAACCCTGTTCAGTAGCAAGCCTGTGTTCATACATTAAATATCCCTGATCTTGCCACTTTATATACTATAGATTCGAACCTCACTATAAATAACATTTTGTGGAATTGACTGTGAAAAAATCTGTCTACTTCAAAATGTAAGTTTTCAATTTCCTCAAAACCTACCAACAGAGCAGTTGGACCAGACTGCTATGTAAATTATCAGTGGAACTTGTGTCCTAAAATAAAATGCTCAGGTGATGGGTACTACATTTTCTTCAGCTGAGCGACTCAATAATGACTGCTGAGTGACTTAATTAAGCTGGTAGTCAATCCCTTATGTGGACTTCTTTTGCCAATTGGCTTTGGCAAATTATGGTCCAAGCAAAGATACTGCAATTGGTTCTGCTAGTATTGGGGCAGCAAAAGTAGCAACTCATAATTCAGCTCCAGATTACTTCTTCAAGTTACTGGCCACTGCATGAGGTCTTCCTCTACCCTTCAACTTTGACATAATTTATGGACTTCCTCTGAATCATATTTGACTTTCAGTCAGATAAAGAAACCATTAACTCTCACAGGGGAAAGTAAAATACTCTGTTACAAACTTTGGGTAGTCCCCTTGCTCACATCTAGGATGAATTTCTCATTAAATAGAGACATAATAAAGCTTTTGTCTGTTGTGACAAGTTGAAGTATCATTTCCTACATTTTTTTTTTAGATAAGGTTCAAGCACGTTTTCTTGCAATTCTAGTGCGCTTGCATGCAGAAACGTGTAATGTGTGTTCCAACCACATCCGTATCGAATAGCAGCTGTGGTCTTTTGTTTCCTGTCACAAATCTCTGGTGGTGATTTTAAAAGATTGTAATCGGATTACATTCGGTCATTTTGATGTCGAACAAGGTAAAGCAGTCAATGCTAAGGAAACAAGTGTCGTGCACAAGTCTTAGATCACGAAGAGACAACGATGAATGTTTGACAGTTTAGGTTTGTGGTCGGATGTACGTATCTAGGGCGTTTACTTGTGATAGCAATAAAACTAGGAAACCTTGTAACATTAGGAATTAGTACAGTAGACCAACGGCTGAAATTCCATCACTGGTGAACAGAAGGCTCCAGGACAAAGCAATCCTTATGTTCAAGGCAAAAAAGAACTTACTTCCTTGTCAAATACAGGAACTATTTATGTCAGAAGTAAACAGCGATAAAAGATATTCTTTAAGAAATGCAGATTTTAGAATCCCTCGCTTTAATACAGTAAAATATGGTAAACACTCTATAAGATACTATGGCCCTCTCCTCTGGTCGAAACTTACAAAAGAGTTACGCAGTGAAGACAGCCTGCACGGATTTAAGAGCAAAATCAGGAGAACGGAAATGACTGTCATGATTGATAATGGATGCAAAAAATGTGCGCTCTGTAATAGTTGATTTTTAACTCCGGGACATTGATAAATAATTTTAACTGTTAATAGGTTAGGTAAATAATTCTGTAAATAGGTTCCAGATTTCTTACTTTTAAAGCTTTTACCCTGTGTCCCCCAATTAGTACTATGCGCTAGGTTTTCACGACACATAAATAAAGTTCACTACTACTACTACTACTCAAGCGTTCGGGCATAATTGAAATTAAACAGGCTCAGGAAAATACGAGAATGCTGTACTTAACTTACAATTTTTAGAATTCTGCCTCCTGGGTCAATGGCCCAAAATGCATCGGGTATTTTCTCCATTTCTCTTTGATCCTCACTTATTTCTCGACCAAGTTCCACGAGTTCTGTCGGTAGTGTTCTAATTTCCATATCCGGTCGGAGAAACTTCATGTGACATCTTAAGCTGCAGTAAATGTCTATAAAATGCTGTTTCAAAAAGTTCCTTTCTTCGTCTGGCAATTTTTGCCACTTAGTTAAAAGAAGTTTTACTTGTTTACACACAGCCGTAACATCTTTCACTATGCGGTCTGCATCATTACTGTACCCGTCTATAATGGCCTTAAAAATGCTCCAAAGTTGCTTGTAATCGACATCATTACCTGCCATGTTAGCGCAAATGCTGGAAAAATAGAAAAATAACCAAGTATTCAGTACAGAACCCGGTTCAATTGCGTCTCTCTACACGGAACGCGGAAATCTCTGAAGAACGTGCGCAGAAGCATATACGTCATGTGACCAGGTTTGTTTGTTGATAGGAAACGAAGGAAACGCCGGAGGTATAATTGATTCGGCTTTTCTGTTGTTTTTTGTGTCTGCTGCATTTGCATGCAGACACAATGATAAGCTGTAAAACGCGCGACCATTACTTCATATAAGATAAAATCGCGGATTTTCTCATGACGTTTCACCGTGGATTCCATTTCGTGACATGTTACATGAATTATTCTCAAAGTGTAATACTTTCGGTAGCCTGTAATACTTTCGGGTGTAATACTTTCGGGTTAAATTCGTTCCTCTGGGGAATATTGGAACCAATCGGATTTGAGAAATGGACAACGCCAACAGCTCGTGGCACACAACTAATTTCCGGAAAGACTCGGAAGCAATCAAATACGAGAAAAGGAAACGTCAACTTCGTCAACAACCATGTGCTTCCGTTCAGCTTTCGAAGGAAGAGGTCCGCCATCTTGTGGTATATTTCACGTGAGCTTATTGCAGTGTTTGTTGCTTGCTAGGTAAGTGATCTTTTCGTTTTTCATCTTTGTGATGGATTTCTTAAAGGGTATTTTGTCCATTTGCCACAGCATTCGCACTACTTGTTTGTCCGGCCGTGTGAAAGGTTTTGAAAGATGCTTTGAAGTTGTAGATCGATGGAAGCTTTCTTGGCGCCAACAGCATCACCACTCGGCGATATTGCGAGTGCCTTGGACACAAAATAAGCTTTATGAGCCCCATTTGGGGAAAAGAAAGTCCCTTCGGGGAATAAATGAGCCCCATTTGGGGAGAGAAAGGCCCATTACGGGAATTATTGAGCCCCTTTTGGGGATTATAAAGCCCACTGAGGGAAATATGCCCTGTTTAACCCGCTGTTTGGGAAATGAAATCGCCCCTAAAGTGAAAATACCTTTCACTGGCCAGACATTTGCGAAAGCTGTTGCAATTTTTAACCTACAAGGGAAGTGTAGAAGTACAATTCATGATATTTGTTATCTAAGGATAGTTTCTAACAGATCTTTAAAAACAGATGTAAGATTTGTTGTGGGAGCTTCCATTGTTGATGTACCGCCATCGAAAGAATTCCACAAACATTCCCCTCGGAAAAATTCCAAGTTCGTTAAACAAGTAAAACGACATAGAGACCGAGAGCCATCTAGAATACCTGTGAAAAAGGTCCTAAATTATATGAAAAAGAGAAAAGCTAGAAGCAAGCTAAAGTTTATTTTTAAGAAATGTACCCCTAAATCTTCAAGATTGTATGACTTGGTTACTCACTATAAATTGTGGTATATACGGTATTTACAAAAATGCAACGCTTTTATTACTTCCTTAGTCAATTTTAAAAGACTGGCAACAAAAAAGTCAAAAAAAAGAAAGCAAACTAGTAGCTGTTGTTCAGGTAAAATTAAAAAATCAACTTGCCCGGCTAAAACATATTGCGTATCAAGGATGAATCTTTTGAGATCAGGTGACGTTGAATTAAATCCAGGTCCCGAACAGAATGTGAACAATCAGACCAATTTGTCAGTGGATTCCTCAACATTGCTTAACTTTCGATTAGGACAGTTGGGATTGATAGCTTTAGATGTGGGTGGTGCAGGTGACTGCTTTTTTAAAGCCGTATCACATCAATTGTATGGTAATCCCAGTCATCACTTTCACATCAGACAAGCTGCTGTCCAATACCTCAGGGATAACCCTGAACGTTTCATTGAAAGCAACACTCAGAACTCATGGAATGGTTACTTGACAAATATGTCAATGCAAGGTACATGGTGTGATGCATTAATTGTACAAGCAGTTGCAGAATCACTTAATATACAAATTTATATTGTAGAATCTCACATAAATTTTGGACAGGCAACTTTAATAGAGCCACGCCATTCATCATCACAGCAACCAAGAACAATATATATAGGTCATGTAAACGAAGTGCATTATGTATCAACAATACCAAATAGCTCTTACTCAGGAAATGAGCACCCTTACAGAAGTCACAATAGTGATTTCAATTTTACAGAACAAAATGTTCTTCCTGAACAAGTACACAATAGTACTGGAAAAAGAAAACACAATAATTATTCCAATCTGAATGATGTTAGAATAACCACTAAGAGCAATGAAAAAAAAAGCAAATGGAATTCTTACATGAATTATTACAGAAATAACAGAAGGGCTGGTAAAAAGAATCAAAGCTGTGAACGTAACAGTGATAAACAAAGTTCACCCACTAAAGAGAATACAAATGCTGTATTTGTAAATAATGGTAGTCAAAAAAGAAAACACAATTATTCCCATCTGAACGATGTTAGGATAAGTACTAAGAACAGTGAAAACCATGAATGCAGATCCAAAACTCATGAGCAAAAAAATAAATGGAATTCTTACATGAATTATTACAGAAATAACAGAAGGGCTGGTAAAAAGAATCAAAGCTGTGAACGTAACAGTGATAAACAAAGTTCACCCACTAAAGAGAATACAAATGCTGTACTAGTAAATAATGGAAGTCGAAAAAGAAAACACAATTCTGATGTAAACAATTTAAGAATAAGCACTAACAGTAGTGGAAATGATAAATGCAAATCCAAGACACAGGAGCAGAAAAAAAACTGGACTTCTTACATGAAACATTACAGAAATAACAAAAGGGCTACTAAAATGAATCAAAAGTATAAGTGTAACAACAAGAAGCAAACCTCAACCACTAAAGAAAATAATAATGCTGAAAGTCAAAAAGAAAAAAACGAAAAAATACAAAACATGGCTGCCTTAATAATGAGGTTTCATGACATTGTGTCACAGGGCCCCTTATATATTTGTAGTTGTTGTGATCAGCTGTGGTATAAACACAGTGTTTACCCAGCTACTAAAATAAGAAAATCAAACCCTGCTGCTGAAAAATATCTTATAAAAACAAAAAGTGTCAACAATAAAGAGTGGCTATGTAGAACTTGTCATAATTACTTAGCAAAGAATAAAGTTCCACCCCTTGCCATATTGAATGGAATGAGTTTTCCAATAAAACCTGAATTTTTTGACCTCAATGAACTGGAATGTAGGCTTGTAGCTCCAAGACTTGCATTTCAAAAATTAATGCAAGCTCCAAGAGGAAGGCAATTCAAAATACATGGAAATGTTGTAAATGTCCCAGCAGAAGTAACTGATACTGTCAATATCTTACCAAGGTTACCCAATGATGCTGGTACAATTAAAGTCAATTTAAAGAGAAAATTGCAATACAAAAGCTCAGCATTGTCTCTCAATATAAGGCCACATAAAGTTGTTCAAGCAGCCAATTGGCTAGTTAATAACAGCACTCTCTACAAACAGGAAGGAATAACTGTAAATCAAGACTGGGGAGTAAACAGTTTATTAGGTGAAACTAATCCTGAAAATCAAAATGAACAATCAGAAGAAATACAAAACACCAGTAGCTGCAATAAGCAAAGTAATATTAGTGGAAGTGATGTCACTGATAGTGATGATCAGTGGACTGAAGATGAGGCAGAAATACCTGCTGGTGTTACTGACACCATGTTGACGAACACAGAATTTGTTGAAGACAGTGAGCCTCAACATATATTAAATGTTGCAGCAGCGTATGCGCAAAATGTATGCGCATGCGTAGAATGAACCTTAGAGCGCATGGTTTAAGCAAGAGAGCAATGGCTGCTTTCGTGGACAATTCTTTGCTTGATGTATCCGAAAGAAATTCGATGGCTATTACGCCCAATGTATGTACAAAGTCACACACCGTTCGCGGTAGAACCGCGCTAAAACTTTTAGAGCGATTTGGGAACGGGTGGTTCCGCGAACTTTACGAGAGATCAATTTACGAGCGATCCTTTACGAGTGAACCTTTTATCGAGAAATATCAAGCGAAACGTGCTACATCAAACGAGTTCTGTCATGTTATGTTTACATGTAAACACAACCGTGTATTAAGACGTGATTGAGAACCCAGTAGAGTACCAGAAGCTACTCTGAAACGTCTCAGAAGAAAGGGCAGAAAAGTGAATGAATTTGTTTATGAGCGTATTCATCCAAGCAAACCGAAGTCCTCTTGGCTACGTCGTTATGTGAAGGTTGGAAGAGTTACGAAGAACATTTGTAAGCTTAATACGAAGAGGGTAAGATTAAATAAAGTTACAAAAAATGATAAGACGTATTTTTTGAATTGTTTAGTGAGGGCAAATCAGAGGATAATGAAATTGAAGTTTATGTTTTCTTGTAATAGACCCTTGTGTCTTTATAAGATCTGTCAGACAGACGCATCAAACTATTGTAAATTTCAACTGAGTTCAGATGTTGAGAAAAATCCAGGTCCTACTCCAATGTACATTGACCCTAGCAAAACAATAATGCCAATATACAGTCAAGCTAATGAATTGGTATTTGGATAAGATTCAGGACAACAATGTGTTGCAATGAGTTTATGCTCTTTGATTTACAGTAACAAAACAAGGAATCAATTCTGCTAATGATCTCGTGTCAATAATGAGTATTGGAAATCAGTTGTATTCAAGTTCGTGTCAGTTAACCAGACAATCATTTTTAATGTAGACAGAATTATGCACACTTTTAAATGTGCTCAAGACTGAAGAGCCTTTCAACCACTTTCATCCAAAAATTTCAACAATTTTGTCTTGACAATGGGATGTACTGCAGTTGCTATCTATTGTAAAGGTAATGTGAGCTTGAAAATATTCGATTCTTGTGCAAGGGATATTTATTGTAGAGGCCATCCTCAAGGTACATGTTTACTGCTTGAAGTATCCTCACTGAATAGCTTAGTACATTATTTTCAAAGTACACAGAAGAATGATTTAAATTATTTGAGTTGAAAGGGGTTAGAATTAACAAAGTTCAAAATAGTACCCTTTTTGAGAGTCATGCCTGGGAAACCAGAAAGTTCAAAGTGAGTTCTGCTGTGGCTGTCTATTCACTCTGCTACTCTGTAATAAAATCATGTAGTTATTGGAATTCAAACACCTTATCTAATGTTATTCGGTATGGCAAAAGATTATATGAAAATTCATCTTTAAATAAGTATTTGCCAAAAACTGATGTTTGTGGAACTGAAGTAAGTTTAGATCTTAAAAGTGATCACAGTGAAGGAATATTGTCTGATTCAGTTGATGGCAAATCAATTCTTGAAAATCTTGTAACAAATAATAGTGAATGCACAGGGTTTTTGATGTGGTTTTCAATTTTTTGTCTGACATGCATTTTTAAACCCACAAAAAGGTCAAAATATGTGTATTCCCTCTTGGTATTTAATGAAAGTCAAATGCCTCTAATTGAATATACTAAAACTGTAAATAGCACTGCTTCTTTCACTGGGGCGATCAACAATATTCAATATTCAGAGATTTTTCTATTAAAATCAATGAACTACTAAACAGTAATATTGCTTCAATCTACTGATTTCTGAAAACTCCCACTGGGTGACCATATGGCAACAAACTATGACTCGGTACCAATAATAGATGAAAAATTCCCTTCTTCCAGTTAAAGGCAAATACATTACCTACTCGAGGTTTTTAAAAGCCTTGCAAGTCCTTGAAGATGCTTGAATTTAAAACTTAAAAAATTCAAGGCCTTGAAAGTACTTGAATTTGAGGACTAGGGCTTGATTTTTGCAATGCTTTTTCTTAAGCAGTTTTCAAGTTGGAAATTACAGTTCTTTCATGGAAAAGCTGAGAAATAATATAAGATAATTTGAAAATTGTTTATGCAAACCTTTCCAAAAGTGGTCCCTCAAATTTTCTAAAACTTGGCCTTCCAAGTCATTGAAAAGTCCTTGAATTTCAACCTTTGGAATCTGCAGTAGCCTACTCCTATGTGGTAATATATTATTTTGATTACTATTCAGTACCATAATGACATTCATTACACTTCAGCAGACAACAATAAACACAAGTAGACTTATTCATGACCAGCAAAGATGAAATTGTGTGACGACAGTAACAATGGTAATATGGCAGTCCCCTAAAGACAACTTCAGATGTGTGATAATGAAAGCCTGAGTTTGCGCAGCTATGCGTCTAGTTTTATGTTCAAACCTTTTACAGTGTAGAGAATACTTCTCAAATTAACCATGACAGCTACTTATACACATCGCCCTCATCTGACTGATTCAACTGTCACTGAAAAACGTTGTGTCTTTGGCAAGAAACTGAAAGTATCACACACATCTACAGAAAATGCTGTGCCTGTACTTCCCTCAGATATTTCGAATTGCCAACTTATGAGTTTTCCATTAACTTTTCAAAGGAGATTTTGTATTTTAATTAGTAAAACATGTCATATTTCTCTTTTGAAATGAAAGATCTCACTTGAGAATGTACTTGAAGATGGCAAACCTACAGTATATTAAAAATGGTGGATACCTACTCTGGGGTCACAGCAAGAATATTCATTGCATACTCAGGTTAGGTGTCTTCATTTATTTTATTGTAGAATTTATAATTGGGTGGTGAAAACTCAATGCCCTTATATAGCCGGAACGGGTAATTTCACACAGCCTCGTACAATTAAAAACACTATTAAAAAAGGCCGTTTTCCCAAAAGCAATTAATCTATGGCGTGTTTTGCGGAAGTCTTATCCAGTGGTGAAATGGCAAAAAGATCAGCCAACTCTCAAAAAACCAAATGGTGGAAAGTCACCCCAAATCCAAAAAGACGGAACCATATAGATATTACACACATCCTGCCAAAGGACAAAGGGGCCAAATGCAAAGTCCAACTTTTCATGACCTCCTCACAATATTGAACAAGATAGGCAGTTAAGACTGCATATGGCTACTGCTGCTGTGTCCCACATATTTGAGTCAGGCTTTTTCCACAAGAGAAAGATGATTCAAGGATATAGTGACTTTTGACACTCAACCATCATTAATGAAATGGTTACAACTAATCATATTAGCAATAATAGTAACTCTTTAAAGTAATAATAATAGTAATAGTAATAATAGTACTAGTAATGGTAATCTTTAATTTTAATTTTGCTAGTTAATTATAAGTTATTTTCTTATTTCATGGCAATTCCATTGTTGTTAGACTATTTTTTCATACAACATGGCCTACTTGTTGTAGGATATTCCACCATTCCACTGTTAAACGCAAGGTATCAAATTTCTAATCTTGCCGGCTAGGAAAATTTTGCGGTTCATTTTAGCATTTATCACTAATCGAAATGGAGAATTGCTTTCTTTTGCAATAAATATGATTTGTCTTCAAAGTTTCCATGATGTGGGGATCAAATCTATATACATATTTCTGAAAGGACAAGTCTTTTTTAATTACATGCTGGAGATGCTACTGTGAAATTACTTTGAGGTGTTTATCATTTTTTTGAGGTGTCACAGCAAGAAGTGAAAAAATTACATCTTTGGATCCACTAAGTATAATTTGCTGATTCAAATGATCGAATGCCCTCAGCTTGAAGTAACCCAGAGATCAACATTTTAGTAAATAACTTTTTTTCATTTTCATGTTCAGTGTGTCTCCATCACCTACCCTGCTAAATTTCAATCTAGTTGGAGGACCAGAAGTATCTTTTTTTGGACCATTAAATTTGAGATTTCATGTCCACCATTATTTGACCATGTTCTGGAAGTTGATTGCAGGACTCATAGGAATTGATATCAAAGGCTCAATGCACAAAACTCACATGGCTAAGTGTCAAAAAAAACATAACAGAGCGTCCTCCTCTATTCTTACTAAAATGACATAACACAGATGTGTAGTTTGAGGCTGTAGCAATTGTGCAGACCATGCTGGTGGTGTTTCTCTGCATTGAAGCCCTGTTAAATAGGTCAGAGAGAGTAAAATGGGTGCAATTTGTTCCCAAGGGATGTTTCGGGGCATGCTTCGTCAGAAAATTTCAAAAGTCACAGAAATGGTAAATTAGTTTACCAAAGCAGATCCATAATCTTGTACATATTGAGTTTTAAGGATAGCTTGCCTTTCAACAGAAAGTGTCAAATGATCACAAACTGGAAAACGTTATTTGTAGTAGATTCTCTTTTTTTGAAAACTTTTTTAATTTTCTAAAAATATGAGGGGATATATTGTTTATCATTTGGCTCAGAGAAGCCAAGCAAAGTTCTATTCACAGCTGGTCAATTTGCCTGGTGCCTGACCCTTATTGAAACCTCTGTGTTAAGAATGGGTAGCTGTGTTGTTTCTGTTGCCATTACTTATTATTCCTATGCACAAATTGGGCAAATGCTCCACTGATGCCTTGGTCAGTGTCTTTTTTTTCCAAGTGCTTCTTTTGAAGCCATTCCATCCTTTCTCAGACATCTCCATGTGTGACTTTAAATTTCACCTCTTCACTGTTATTCAAGGCTTCAGCTATTTCAGTCCACTTTTTACCTTTTTCAATGCTTCCTTCCTTATACTTGCTAGGCTCTACTAACTGCCTCACAGCTTCTGTCCACTTTACAGTCCTGGATATGAAATCACAAAGATTATTCAACACAGTTCAACTAAATTTGGTTGTGGCTTAATATTATTGCATGAGAGAAGTTGTATTTTAGAACTTTTGCTGCTTCGAATGATTTGGTTTGGTTGGTGAGTCTTAGAGGTGTGCAAACAAAAACATGCCCTTCCAGAATTGATGAAAG